TGTGCCTTCTAAATACAGCTTTATTGGAAGACAGTTCACTGCATGATCACTTTAAAATTTGATTTACTGTTCCACAGACACAACTAAGCAACTAATCTTCCAGGACAAATGTGACACATAAGAACAGCTAAACTGAAACATATAAATCGCACATATCCTTAAAAATATTATTGTCTGTAATTTAATCTAACAATATTTCTAGGCCTATAACCTTGCACGCAGAAGCAATTTCCCAAGCATTAATACTTAAATGGGTCATATGCACCACATCTGTCATTCTGTCTGAAGTCTATGAGGCACAACCAAGACTCTGCAAGCCTATTGATTTTTCTAGCATTTGCTTTAATTTACTTAACCATTGAGAAAGCCATCAGTACATAAAGGGCAACTGTCCATTACTGCCTCATTTGCAGACATTCTTTCTATTCATTCTCCACCCCAACCCACCGTGCCTCTCCCCTCTTGGTATAAATGCTTTAAAAAATGCTTCTGTATTTATGATGCAAAAGGCAGAGTGGGGGAAGGGAGATGCCTGGAAGATGACTCACACCTGTTCTATTCAGTGAATTGCTGCACTGAAGTATACCTAATGTGCTTTAAAATAGAAAATAATATCTAGACTTTATAAATCTCTGTGCAAAGGGTGCAAATTAGGTCCTAATTATATTAACATGGAATCTGCCTCCTAGCTTAAATGCTACATGAGCCCTCTCTAAACATGCAGAGCTTTGCTGCAGTTCCTTTATGAGCAGATGATTACTACTAATTCTTAGGTTGTCACAAAATATTCTGTTTACAAATAAACCATGAAGCCTTGAGCCAACTTTTCAAGAATAATCATCTGAGGGGTTTTTTTTTTTCCTCCCCTACTCCACGCCATCCCTGTTCTAGCAAACCTCCACCACATATGCATGGCAACAATCAAAAGCCCAGGCTTCATCTAATTACTCTATCACATAATTTCACAAATTGCCTTTTCGCTAGGGAGCCAAGTGCAAAACACACTCACAGTGGGATTTCAGGCAGCAGCTTTCATTTACTACTCATTTCTTGTTAAATTAAACACAAAAACACCAGTTGTGTGAAAGAAGTCAAAATGAAGGCTTGTAAATGAGCCAGACGAGCAGATCTCATATTCATACCACTGTTGGAAAATAGCTTGTTGGCAAGATGCATTTTTAATTGCAGTGCTTTTATCCCTTAACCCTTTTGAAGTCCTAATACATTTTCAGAATTATAACTAGCAAACTCTAGAAAAACAAACAAAGACAACCTTTCCTAAGCTCTGGAGATAATATCACTGCCAGCAATGTAATATTATATCAACCACACACATACATTTTATACAGGCCAACATCGAAGTGGTTTTGTTAATAGTCTAGGACGATTATAAAACTTCAACTCATAATGTGTTGTACTAATGCTAATAAATCCAAACATCTGATATTGTTGTGGTGAGCAAATGTCTATTAAAGCCCAGTTGTGTCCTATAAAAACCAAGCCACGTTGATTATGATATGGATTGATTTCAAGCCTCTAAAGCATGTAGTAGAAAGGACCACTGTATAACACAACAGGTTAAGTAGCCAAAATGCCATATTCAATAGTCACACACATACTGTTTTTTCCCTTTTTTTCACTTTTTAAAGCACTTTTTGTGTGTCTTTTTTCCTTTGATTGTATTTTTATTTTTGTCATTTTAAAAAAGCAATAAAATAAATAAAACATTTAATAGTCACACATACTTTCAATTCTTCACACATACATTTTCTCTTCCTAAGATGAGTGAAATTTGCATGAGGAATCAATAATTGCTCTGGAAGGAACCCTCAGTTTTTTTCCTATTAATAGGACATAATAGAATAGGGTTATATTGTTTTCTACCTTTCTACTTTAAGTTTACAACTCAAATGACATTTTGATAAGCAGTCAAACTCAGGACTAAATACAGTTGTTTTAAAAGCGATATTGTTCTTCTGTACCGCTACCATTTCACATCAGCAGCAAAAACTCTGCCCCAGTTCTCTGCAGAGGGAAAACATAAGCAGCAGCTGTTTGTACATTCTCACATTAGAAATCCTATTAAAAGACAGGTGGAATAATTTAAAAGCCAATGTGGTACCATTTTGTTGCAAGCAGTGTAATTGTTTATCCCCCAAAATGGTACGCCTCATATTTATGAAAACATAACTAAAATTACATATTATTCCCACAAATCCTAAAACTCCTATTATTGCCTGCTTACAAAATGATCCCACCTCATATTTGTGATTTAATAGCACTCCAAGGTTGAATGAGCTCTGTTGCATGGGTGTAACTACAAACATTCTATTCCACCTTGAAAACGGAGGATAACTGCACATACACGCTGAAACATTTTCTAACATATGCCTGAAATCCAGCTCCCAGTATCTTAAATACAGAGAAGACTTAAAGTACGTACCTAAATGTACCATTTCCTGAAAATTCTGGATATTGAAGAATCAAACCCAATGTCACAAATATGTTTTTATATCTTAAAAATAAATTTACTACTATTGCAGAGGGGAGTATATTTTAAAGTGGGACGTGTGGGAGAACAAACATCAACAGAGTTGTCAATATGTTGCAAAGATTTTCTATAAGAAAAAAACCTATAGCCTGTCTTTTTCAGTTTCACTGAAGACAGCAAAAGCTAGGAATGCCACCAAGTCTTAAATTCACAATACATCGCTACAACATCAATAAGTATTTTCCTCACAGATACAGAACATATACAGAATTATAGGTCATTTTTTAAAATTCTGAAAATTTTTAACTCTCACTTCAAGTAGATGCATTTTGCAAGTTTCTCTTTTGCTTCAAACATTTGCTAAAGCCATAGGAGTGAGGACTGAAGAAAACTAACCCAATATTATATGTAAGAATTTGTATTCTGAATGTGCTTTACCTCATGGTGATGTCAGAAATTAATATTTTAGCACATGACTGTAAATAAAATATTTTACTAACACTAGCACAAAGGTAAGTCCATTAAATATACATTCTGATCGCACACTTCCCACGTCCTTTCAAAATTCATAATGCTAAATGCAGATTAGATCCACTATCTGTTGGCAATGTGATTTCTAAACAAGAATGAACAATTCAAAGAAGCCGCTCAAAACTGATCTTTACAATGGTGAATCAGGAAGATAAGCCATTGAGTCCAACATTCTGCTTGTGAATGAAAGCAATCTTATTAGCTATCTAGCTTCAGTTAGAACACATCCAAATGAAGGACCTTCACCACTTCTCTAGGCATTTCTGTTGAACAGCTCTTACTCTGGTATGTCTTGACTCATCGTCACCCCTCAAATATCTGCTGAGAAAAGTTTATGTTAGAACAAGTGCTTGATTCACTCTGTGATGTAAAGTTGTTTTTTAAGCAAGAGACAAAAAGACAAATCAGACTGACTCAAAAAGGAGCCCTTTTAGAGAACATGGATACTGTATTTGGAACATCTAAAATGGCATCTATCCAATGAAGGCTACTTGGTAGCTAAACTCCCATCTTTTCCACATATTTTATACAATACTCTTTTCGGAATAATTTTGCCCATAGGAGGAAGGGAATTAATAAATGACAGCAGGACCAAGTCCAGTTGGCATTGCAACAGAATCACCTGTGGCACTATTCTAGGGGGATACTAGCTTTTAAGACTTTGTAAGACTAGCTGAGGTAGTGAAAGATGAAGGATGAAAATTATGAGTTCAGCCATCACAAGGAAGACACTTATGAATATAATGAGAAATGTAACCTGCGCTTGAGTTTATGGAGAAGTAGAACACTGGAGAATCTGTGGTGATAGAAATGCTTTTTGTGCATTCCTCAGAGGCATTTTACTCAGTGCTCTAAAACCTAACTTTGGTGATGGAAATAGGCTGCTAGGTTAAACTCTGATAAGTCTTTGTGCAAACAAACTGAGAGGTAGGAGCGTGTTTGGAACTTGCCTGTGCAAGACAAAAAAGGAGTGCCTATTTTTATGAAAAGTTGTTGGAAGAGGGGATAAACGATGATTGTGTTGCATTAATATGTGGGGAAGGGGAGAGAGAGAAAGAAATAAATGCTGAGATTTGATTTTTTTTCCCTAGAAGTCATGTTTCTTAATACTAAATGGGAAGAAAATGATATTTTCTCAGGTAATATATGGGATAATTTATTAATGCTTAACTATCTTGAATTCACTCAGTAATTAGTAATTTTGGACAAGTAACTTGCACAATTGTTTCAGTATTTCTTAGCCACAAACTAGCACATATATTTTATAAAAAATATATCATAGCACATACTTTTAATATGCCATATAGAGAGGTACCACATCACTGTGTTTCCTATTCATTGCTACTACGTATATCTGCCCTTAGTTCCCATTTCTATTTCTATCATATTAAAGCCTCAAATGGACAGGTCTCATTGTTACTCATCAGGGAATAGTGCCGGGCTCTTGATCTCCACTAAATCATTTCCAACTGTGAAATTCAGAATAAGGATAGACAAGATCTATTTCTGATTCACATCACTTTCACATGCAATCAGTCTCTCCATCCTATCTCATTTCTGCAGCAACTTGTTTTCGTTTTAATGAATGAACATTTCTAATTTAAACAACTTTTTCTTAACCAAAAGGTAAAAGTAAAGGTTTCCCTGACCAGTTGTGTCCAATTTTAGGGGTGTGTGTGCTCATCTCCGTTTCTTGGCTGAGGGAGCCAATGTTGTTCGAAAACATTTTCCATGTTCATGTGGTCAGCATGGCTATATGCCAAAGGCTCTTGAAAGGTTATGATCTTCCCACCGAAGTGGTACCTATTAATCTACTTGCATTTGCATGCTTTCAAACTGCTAGGTGGGCAGGAGCTGGGGCAAGGAATGGGAACTCATACTGTTCTGTGGCTTTGGGTCTCGAACCCAGACTGTTGACCTTCCAGGTGACAAGCTCAACATCTTTAACAGCTTAGCCATTGTGCCTCCTCCTACCACACAAAAAATGGAACTCTTCACAAATTTGTGTGTTATCTTTTTGCAGGGGCCCATGCTAATCTTTTCTGTATTGTTCCAATTTTAGTATCTATGCTGCTGAAATGAGCTCAACCAAATGTCACTTTATATAGATTGTATCCTTAAGCAGGCATTTCTATAGTACAGTATTTTATCCTAAAATAATATTTTAATATATATACTGGTTTTGTTTTTAATCTTAGGGAAGTCCAAATGTAAGGAAAAGTATGTTCTCTCTGTGTGTGGTCTTTTTGTAAAAACTGAGAACTGTATTTTAAAATCTGGAGAACTACAAAATCCCAAGCAAAAGCATATGGAACTTTGAGCCTTAGTCCAAAAAGTATATATTAAATTTTGGTCAATGTAAATATAAGCAGAGATGTTATGAAAAATTGGTGAGGGGAGAGGGAAGTAAATGATGAAAGGCAGTGTTGCCTAAATGTGATATCAAATGTGCATATGAAACAGATGGATCTTGATGTTGCTTGGGAAATGCTGACCAAAGCATTGGACCCTATAGATGCCTCTAATAATACGTAGTAACAAAAGTAAATCCTCAAGAATCCTTAAAGCAGAGGCCATACTATGACAAAAAATGTTTACAAGCACCACAGGAAATTATACCACCTTAACTCAATTTCAACTCATGTTCATTACTATTAAACATTAGTGTCTAGCTCCAACCTATCATACCATAAACAACTGTAAATAATATTTAAATTATTGCAAATTCTAGAAACAATTAAACATCTAAATTTAACAAAGGTTATTTTAAATTGCATATATATATATATATATATATATATATATATATATATATATAATTACAGTATTGATATGCAACATGTATATTAACAATAAACATTCATGATTTACAATACTATGTATTGTATATCAGAAAATGAACAATTTCAAAGAGCCAAAGTAAGTAAAGTGTTGGGCTAGGATTGGGGAGACCTAGGTTCAAGTCCAAGCATGGGAACTTAGCATGTGACTTTGGGGCCGTCATTTTCATCCAGCTTGGACAGTCATTTTTTGGGGGACCAACAGAGGATGAAGGCCTAAGTATACACTGTGGAATCCTGGAGGAAAAACAAGATAGAAATCTAACCAAACACAAATGCAATTGTCTATTTCAAAAACAACATCAATGTATGATGCCAGTTCTGCAAATAGTTTGCAAGATATTTGTTTTAAAGGTAGAAGGTATAATTGGATTAAGCAAGTTATATTACCTTAGCTCTGACTTGGATGTATAATAGTCAGATTTCAACTCCTTAGAATTCAAAGGAAAACAGATAGTTGAAAACTATCTGCTATAACTAATCATCACTTATGTTTATTACTTATTCTCCTATCCCAAACCAGCATTATATTACTTAGGAAATTGTTTCTTTTGTAAATAACCTTGTTCATTATAACTTTCTATAGGAGTTGTCCACATTTTCTTTAAGTAAATTAATTTCTATGATGTTTTTTATTTCAAAAATACAATTTTTGTTTCCTCAGCTCAAATATTCCTAAACTTTTGGGGCTGGTAAACACGTTTGATTCGTAAGAACATAGCATGAGAACTCACACAAAATGGCTGTCCTGGAGGGTGTGGCCAGTCATAAAGCAACCTTTACTATACATAAAATAAATTGGTAAGGATGTTTGCTGCCACTGCCTCTAGTCCCTTGCCCCCAGATTCTCTCCATATCTCAGTTTACCTTCTTTTTCCCGAACAGCAGCCATTCACCATTTTTAATTTCAAAGAACACCCCAGTGTCTATTTAGGACCCTAAGGCATTCTTAGAAATAAATATGATAGCTTGCTATATAACACCTAGCTTCCCATTTCATTTTTTTTAATTAAAAGAAGCTTAATAAAACAAAATAAATTAAAATCAGATGAAGTGTAGAGCCTGAGGGCTCTAAGGGAGGTATTATCAGGCACCTTGGCCCTGCCCACATCACACTGGAGACCCAGACTATGGCTTAATGGTTTATTAGCCAGGTATTTTCATGATAAGATGGAAGATGACAGTACAGATGCACCTGTAGGCCTTATAATTGTCCTGTGAAAAAGTTACCCTCTTTGAAGCATGGAAAACTCAAGAGGTTCTTGCTCTGTTTAAATATAAGCAAAGGTAATTATGTGGCAGAAACAAATTTTATAGGATGGGTGTGACTAACATCTAGAAGGAGCACAATGGCTTCAGAGTCCACCATTAAAAAAAAAGAACCCTTAGAAAATTATTAGCAATATTAAAGGACATAATTCATAGGCAAGTGCAGGAAAACATTATTATATAATCTTCAGCAGCTCCCTGCATTACTCCAAATCAATTTGCTTACAACTTTTTGAAAATTAGAATTAACTTAAGAAAGGAGCCCTAGTGGCACAGTGGTTAGAATGCAGTATTGTAGGTTAACTCTGCCCATAGCCAGAAATTTAATCCTGACCAGCTCAAGGTTGACTCAGCCTTCCATCCTTCTGAGGTTGGTAAAATGAGGACTCAGATTGTTGGGGGCAATAGGCTGACACTGTTAATTGCCCAGAGAGTGCTGTATAGCACTATGGGATGATGGATAAGTTTAAGTGCTATTGCTATTTATGGAATTTTTGTTGCTGAAGATAGGCAAGGCTAGTTTGCATGCACAATTAACTTTAGTGGCTTCAATGCAAGGCTAGTATATATGGCATCTGGATTGTGATTTATGGAATATTGGGTTGGATTCACAGGACTCCTTTTGTGGGTAAAGAAACTTTTGGAGCCAATCATATGTTTCCAATTACAGTTCATAAAATCCAGTCTATGTGGTCCCACTGAGACCAAGACAACAAAGTAGTTTTGTATTTTGGCTTGTTGCAAATTACAATTATAATCTGAAACAGATTTAATTGCAAAGTATTCTAGTGCAGACAGTTACATTTCCTTTTGAGTTTTTGTTGGTACTTTTTGGTTCGGTATGATTTCTTAGGGAGTCATTTAAAAACCTATTCCAATATGTAGCTCAAGACTGCACAGAATATCAAATACTGTAAGGTTTATTAACAATATTATTCAAAATAGTTTTTTTTAGAAGCTATCAATCTACCTATTTAACTACCTACCTCTCAGATTTACCATACATTATTTATATGTAGTCCCTCCCCCCACTAATTGCCTGTGAATTGTGGGGAGGAGCTCATCTTACATACAGTGAGGAAAAAATGATTTTGGAAACTAGTGAATAGGCGGGAATGCAATTGGCTACAGACGTTGTTAAAAAATGTGAATTCCCCTGAATTAACCATTTCTTGGAGGGTTGCTTACTTGCTGAATTTTAATCTTTTTGGTGTTTCTTCTCTCTCTTTGATTTCCTTTCTTCTACTCCAGTTTCCCTTTCTCTTTGCATCCTCCGAATCAATCTTTGTTTCCCTCACTTCCCTTCCCACTTTTTTCCTCTTCCTGTGTCTTCATTTTCTTGTCTCACTTCTATTAAAAGGAAAGCTAGGAATAGATACATGTTTTTGTTTTCATGTGAGAGTATGGTGGGTATATGCAGATGACAATCAATTAATTTATTAATGAGAAACCTTATTTTACAAGCAATTACACTTGACATCAGTTCAAATAACTTTTTGGGGGGGGGCTGTTCTTTTTTTGGAGAGATTCTAACAGGCATGGCACTATATTTTGACAATGCCTATTCTTTTCTCTCTCTTTTTTTTTCTTCTGTTCTTCCTCTTTGACACAGTTATCTTAAAGTCGTTGTTTTCCTTTCCATAACTAAACTGCTCTATAAATTAACCAGTAAATGTTAATATGCATGAGATATTATATCACCTTGTTTCAAATCACCACAGTATATACCACATTCCTTAGATACTTCTTTGGCAAATTCCAGCTGTACTATGAAGTATTCTTTCAAGATACAGTCTGAATTATTCAATTAATGCACAATTTGCTTATCTTCTTTATTACATAACACAAGGCGAAATATTATTCTGGTTTTAATAAATCAGCAGAAGTCATCAATTCATTTCAAGGTACAATTCAATGTATTTTTCTTAAGCCTAAATAGCTAGTTAACTAAGGGGACAGTTTTGCTTTTATCAGGCTCCATGTACACAAAGATCCACAGAAAAAACTGAGCAGTGGGGGGGGAGGGGAGTGGGGGGGGACAAAGCTATCTCAGCAACATTATAATCTCTTTGGAACTCCCTATTCAGAGGGCATCTAGAGGACAAGACAGATGAGGTTTTAAACCAGGCTGGCAATTCATTTTTCTACAATGGCTACAGTATGTTATGGGTTAAACAACAACAACAACAAAAATGCTAAAATCATTATAAGCTTTATCATTCGTTTTAAAGATCTGGCTTTAAATAATCACCTTGAGATGAAATATAATGGAAGTAACAAACAAACAACAATACCGCAAGCAAGTCAGAGTCTAAATTTTGTTGCTGTTTGGTATTGTCTTGGTTCTATTGCTTTTGTTTTGTAAACTACTCTGGAAAATTTTGCTGTCATGGGGTAGAATATAAATGTTTATAGCAAATGGAAACAATACACAAAGTATTTTCAGAGAACAGAACATATTCTATTTGTTCAGCTTGTTGTAGATTTCCTCAATTACCTAGAAAGATGGAACGCTGACGGCTGATATATGTAAATAAATTAAAACAAAAGAATACTCATAATGGTAAAAAATGGGATTGACCAAACCAAAACGTAAAAAATAAAGAACCAAAGTGAAGGATAAATAGCTTTTAATACTAGTAATCTACAATCTGAAATAGTAATCTACAGTCCTTCAGATCTAATATTTGACAAATCAAAAGCTCCAGAGAAGTTTTCAATTTACAATACCCCTTCTTATATAATTATCTACTTATGCACACACATACATGCACATGCACAGAAAGAGAGAAAGAGAGAGTTTTGAAAATGATGGCATTGTGTTGCTGTGTTGCTTTTAGGCCTGAAAAACATCCTATCTTTTACATATAGGATGATACAGCAATTACAAATCTCAGTCCTTGCATTATGATACTTAAGAAAAACTCACCAAAATCCCAACCTGCTATTGTTTTCAATTCTGACTGTTGAAGAGTGC